AATAAATATAGCTGCAAGCAGCGATGGCGGGCCCAAGCCGTCAGTGCAAATGCCATCCCAGAGGCATCAGGAGAACGGTGCACAGCGGGCACATGCATTTACAGTAACCGTCTGGCAGTCTGGTTTTAAGGGATACGGCAATTAAAGGGTTAATCCATACCATTAAGACTGTGAAACGCATACACAGAACAATGTATAAAACTTTAGTAACACTTTACAATAAGGTTTCAGTTATTAACATTAACTATATTAATTAACATGAACAATAATTATATAGCATGTATTAATGTCAGTTAATATTCAAAACTTAATGGGGTCATATGATGCGATTTCAAGTTTTCCTTTCTCTTTGGAGTGTTACAAGCTGATTGTGCATAGATAAGATCCCTGAAGTTGCAAAGACTAAAGTCTCAAAACCAAAGAGATATTCTTTATCAAAGTTAAGACTCTGCCACGCCCCCCTAAAACGGCTCGTTCTAACACGCCCCCACATATCTACCTCACTATGTGGAAATATTAGCATAATGCCGCCCAAATGTTCACGCAAAGAAAGAAGGCGTGGTTTCAGTAACCGCAGTTAGTGTTGAAGCAGCATGTCAGGGAGACGCTGTGTGTTTCTAGGCGAAAGCAAAAGCACTTTATTTGGCCTTCCGAAAGTAGATGCATTTAGGAATCTTTAAGATTACTTACAACAGAACAGCAATGCATTTTATGGACGACCGTTTCGTGAACCTAGGAGAGGAGGTAATTCTGACTTTGCTATGACAATCTGGCTTCTGAATCAGCTACTGTTTTGTTATTAGTTTAAGTATTTGCTATTGACTGTTCAAATGCGGAGTTTTGTGCAGCGCTGAGTAACGCGTTTTGTGTGTGTGTGTGTGTGTGTGTGTGTGTGAGAGAGAGAGAGAGAGAGACGGGGTCACATCACAGTGGAGTCAGCTGTCTTAACCGTGGCTTGTGTACTGCAAACACATACCAGCTTCATCACTGTGTCTGTCACGGGACTCTGTTCCCCTTTCGGGCTCTGTTTTTACATTTATTTTGAAAGATGAAGCTCGTGATTATGGTAAGGGGCGTTACATTTCCGACTGAGTGCTTGCGGTGTTCGGCCAATCACAGTGCACTGGGTCAGCTGGCCAATCAGAGCGGACTGCGCTTGTCAAAGGAGGGGGCTTTGTAGAAAACGAAGCGTTTGAGAGAGGCGGGGCATAGAGGACCTACAATAATGTACAGTATTTGAAAAATAATGTGTTTTTTGAACATTAAAGCATGTCAACATATTCTGTTACACCAAATACACAAAATAATGATCTTTAAAAAAGCATCATATGACCCCTTTAAGTCACTATTGGCCTTTTGTAGCTGTTGTGATTTCTGTTTTGAATCTAGTGATTCTGTGCACAAAGACCTACATTGTTATAAAAATGTGCAAAACTCTACATTTAGCAGTACAACAAAGTCCCTTATCTAGCACTAAAAGATGCATATTAGTGTCTTAGAGTAGTAATATGTATCCTTAAGTACTACTATGAACTTTTTAGGAGTAAATAAAGTACAAAGAGAGTACACAACCGGTCAAAAGGTTGAAATAATTACATTTTTTTTTCAAAGAACTCCCTTATACTGACCAAGGCAGCATTCATTTGCTTAAAAATACAGTAAAAACAGTAATATTGTGAAATACTATTAATAGTGTAAATTTTCCTATATATATATATATATATATATATGTTAGAATATTTGAATGATTTCTGAAGGGTCATGTGACACTGAAGATTGGAGTAATGGCTGCTAAAAACGCAGCTTTGCATCACAGGAATAAATTACATTTTAAAATAGAAAAACAGAAAATAGAAAACAGTTATTTTAAATTGTAATATTTCACAATAATCCTTTTATTGTAATTTTAATCAAATAATTGCAGCCTTGGCGAGGATAAGAGACTTCTTTTAAAAACATAAAACATTTTTAAATTTTTCCAACCTTTGACCAGTAGTGTATGTTTAGCTATTAAGTCTGGTCTTTTTTTTAATTAAGATTGTAAAATGTTAAATGCATAAATGAATATCTGATCTAATACAAAATATTGGTTTATTTACCCTCTACCAAATATCTTTTTTTGACTGTCAGTATCATCAGAAATCATGTGATTCGTGACATGTTTTGATGGAAAAAAATAATGAAGAAGACCATAACGTGCATCCTTTTTAACTCCTACACAGGGTGTAACATTGAACTTTTGTGTTTGTGTGTTTGTGTATGTATGTGGGAAAACCTGGAGGCGGAATGTTGACTTGTCATCGCCTCTGTTAACCACATGCCGTCTTGACAAGAAAAAAAAAAGTAGCTCATCACCAAAACGTTTAGGACTCCCGATTTGTTAACTGTCCCCTCTTGGGAAGGGTAGGGAAGTTAGCAGTGTGCTCACAGACCTTGGCGTACTCTAACGTGCTAGCAGGCCAGATGGGCGTGAGTCAAAGGGCCTTCTGCTCTAGTGGGCAGCTTGAGATGGGCATCGCTGGGTCCTACAGCTCAAAGCGTTGCTCATGCAGGTGGGGGCTCTGGGTCAGTGACTGAGTCAGCGATGGCACCACTGTTGGGCTGTTGGCAGAACGTGGGGCGCCACAGTACCGCACCACTCCTGACTAAGGTTTGCACCTCTTAACTTCACTATCCGCCCATGGGCCAACTGGTGCAGAGACAGCCTGCCAAAGGCCTGCGTTTAACCAAATAATCGAATAAAAAATAATGAGACTGTCTGTGCTTCAATAAGGAATGTATCTCACAGATGTGTTTGTGTATGCAACAGGCTTGTGCGTCATTTCAGAATTGAACTGAGAATGCTTTTTGAATTCCAGTTCGGTTCCTAAATTTGAATTGAAGTAGCAAACTAAATTTAAGGAAGTAGATTACAAATGTATTGAAATTCATAAAAACTCCAAGTTTTCCAATAAGAACATTTGCCAAGATAAACTTTAAATGTTGGCTTGACGGCCTTAAATAATAATAAAAAAAAGTGTTTAAGTTTAAAGGTGTTGGTAACACTTTACAATTAGGGCAATTCGTTAACATTATTAATTGCACTAGCTATCATGAGCTAGCAATTTAATAATCTTGGTTAATGTTAGTTTATAAATATCATCTCATAAATATGACGTAGAATATATCATAAATATCATCTACATCATCCGCCAGAACGTCTTACACGTATGACAGTTAGCGGAAGAGAAAAGTATTTATAACATTTTAAATATGGATATTTTTCTTACAAAAATGCATCGATTCGCTACAGGAGGCCTTTATTCACCCCCTGGAGCCATGTGAGGCACGTTTTATTACGGATGCGTGCGCTTTATTTGACTACTTTTGGACTGTTGAACAAAAACACCCACCTACCCCATTCTAAAGCTCGGAAGAGCAAGGACAGTTTTTAATATAACTCCCGATTGGATTCGTCTGAAAGAAGAAAGTCATATACACCTAGGATGCTTTGAGGGTGAGTAAAACGTGGGCTAATTTTCATTTTTGGGTGAACTAACCCTTTAATATGTGTATAAATTAATTAAGGTTAATTAATTAAGAAATAATAAGTATTGACCATTGTTAGTTCATAATACTTAATGCATGTTAACAAATTGAACCGCATTTTAAAGTGTTTATCAAACCTTCTAAAGTTCTTTTAAATTCATTTGAATTTGAACCTAATTTTCAACAAATTACAAGTTAAATTTATTAAACATTTTTTTATTGCAATTCAGTAAAGTCCTCCTCCTGGGCTGGCATTCCAATTTAAATTCCATTTAATTGTGGCCAAATGAATTCAAATTCACAAATGAATTGAAATGGAATCAGTTCTTTAAATTCAGAATTTTGCCAACCCTAGTATGTTAATTGGTTTGCTGGCAAAAGAGCTTCTAGTAAAATTTCTCCTCCCAGAGAACAGGGCGAAAGGATGTCAAAACATACTTTTAAATTAATTTGTTTTAAAATGTAATTATGTACAGTATATACACAAGCACTTCCTTATTATAAATCTATGGCTGAGTAAAAGTAAACTCATGTGGAGAAATGATTTGGGTATTTTACATGCCACGTCATGCTGATTTTAATGCTAGGTGGGAGTTACAGCAGAATTTCAAGATGCGCTTTTATTGCCACGACTTTGGCCTTCTAGTCAGATGTGTTTTATAACTTGAGCCGTTTAGTATCAAAATCTAGAAAGCATGCAGCAAATTGGTAATTATTAGAAGAGCATGAACCAGCTCTTTTCTTCCTCCGTTGAACAATTTAGCCTCCTTTATTATTGCACTGATAGACAGCGTAATAATAACTGTTAGTCAAACGCTTACTGTGACTGCTCAGAGGGATCACTGTAATATTTTGATCTGCCATTGTAAAGCAATCAACCCCACTGCAGAAGCTCTCATCCAACGAGGCAG